CGGCTATTTACAATCTGAGTAAACACTAATATCCAGCTCAAAAACTCCTAATAAATGAAGTTAATATGACCACAGAATTAACTGATGCTAACTAAGCCACCAAAGACATAACTGTCTCATTAATATGACCACATAATTACACAGAATACAGTCTTTGATCTTGAGTGGAACTTGGAAGCAGAGCAAATATTGAAATTGAGCTTGCAAGTCAATATTCTAGACTTAATTTCACACGAGGAATTCAAAAACACCAAAACCTGGATGAGGAAATCATTTATGAACTATTTCCTCGCTTCAGAAAGAAGATATAAAGAATGAGTTCCACACACAAACACACTCACACAGGTCTATGGTTTTTAAATTTTGTTCTGCCATATCTCCCTACATTTTGAAAATGTTTTTTCCTGCTCCATTCACTATTTTGTTTTTTATTTTTACTTTATAATTTGGTGGGGGAAATATAATTTTTGACTACTTTCACTTTCTTCACATGCAGATTTCCATGAAAACTAAGTTAAAATGAAGTCAAGCAAGGAGGTACATACAGTATATTAATTTTCTTCTAAGCTTATCAATTTTATTACTTAGCTGATCTACTTAAGGTTGATTTAATCTTTTATTTCTAGAACCCAAGGTCCCAGTTTGTTTTCAAAATTAGTACATCAAAACCTTACCCAGTAGACATGTTTTATTTCCAAAAAATATTTAGAAATTATTTATCTGCTCACATGCCAATGGCACTGCTTAAAACAAGTTGGACCTGGTCTTTCTCTGTAAAGACCAGGCATTCACAGAGAAAACCATGCTCCTAAAATCTAAGGATTTAAAGGGAAGAAGGGGAACAACATTCCATTCCATCCTGTTTCCTCGTTTTTTTTCTTTTCACAATAATGAGTTCACACCTTTGCTCCAAATCTGTTAGGAAGTTACCCAATACTACAATTCTTTCTCCAAAAAGAGAATAGAATGTAAATAAAGAAAACCAATTTTTATTTTTATCTATTTATTTTTTTTTTTTTATTTACTATACCCCCATGTTCATAGCAGCACTATTTACAATAGTTAAGATCTGGAAACAGCCCAAATGTCCATCAGTAGATGAATGGATAAAAAAGCAGTGGTACATATACACAATGGAGTACTATGCAGCTGTAAGAAAGAAAGATCTCTTATCCTTTGAGATGACATGAAGGGACCTGGAAAGTATTATCTTAAGTGAAACAAGCCAAACAGAGAAAGACAAGTATCATATGATCTCACTTATTTGTGGAATATAATGAACATAACAGTCTGAGGAATGGGGTAGTCCCAGAGACGTGGAAGTAGGGTACGGACTGACCATACCCAGAAGAGGGGGTGGCGGGAGAGAGATAAACCACAGAACTGATATGCATGTATGCATGAACAATGGACATGGACAACAAAGCTGGGGACAGGGAGGGGGAATCAGTGGCGGGGGGAACATCTGTAACAAAAATAAATTAATTAAAACCAATTTTTAAATATTCTGGTAGACAAAAATTGGTACAAATAAAATAGATATATCAATAAATTCTAAGACAGAAGAATTTAGTTCTAAGATAGTCCTTAGTTTCCTAAAGTCAGTTGATAACATCCGGGGCACAAAAACTGGGTGTCACATGTATGTAACATGTACATTTTGAGCTGAAGACTACCACCAACAAGTTAATATGTCTTCTGTGGAGCAATAACTATACTGTGACAACCTCTATTTAAACTTTGACAGTCGGTATATTTATTATTTTAGAAACCCAGAAAGTTACTGTAAGAATTGATTTGAGATTTTCAATAACATAGTTTTATTTCTCAAAAAAAAAAAAAGTCAGATAAAGGCAAAATTCACAATATAACTCTCTTGGATTAAAGTTGACAAATCAAGTATTAGTCATAAAAGAAAAACTCTAAGATGAAAAAAGCCTATTCAAATTATATCTTTTAAAATTAAATTGTTGCAAAATTGAATACAGAGAAGTGTGAAGAAACTACACCAAAAAGATACAAGTAGACAAGCACACAGAATGCAGTGGGACAGGAGGGACACAGTGTGTGAGTGTTAAAATTTGCAAATGAATGCTATAAACAGAATAAAACAATGGATAGTGAGCATTGTGTTTGACAGATTGGCACTTAGAGAAAGAGGAACTATTATGAACCATATGGTTGGTTTGGTCCTAACACAACAGTCTTTGAAGTAAGGATACTTTACTCCACCTAAAAATAGCTCAGAAGTGATATTCAAACATTTTTAGGAGAGGAGCCATTTTTTTCACATGTTATCCCAAGATTCCTGCTGCGGTACCAAAAATACTCCTAGCAGACTTTGAGGCAGCTTTGAGGAAATTTGGACTTCTACTGACCAGTTCAAAAATCACTGGGGTAGAAAACACATCTCGGAGTTAACAGATACCAATACATTTTGCGGATGGGGGCAGAAACTTGGGGAAAAATTCTCAAATACAGGTGTGTGTGATGTCTTAGCATTGCTCAATCTCAGGGCTCAGTCCTTGCTTTCTTCTCTATGTACTCACTCTTTTTTTTTTTTTTTAAATAAAAATGTTTAATGTTGACATCATTGCAGGTGTCTCCCCTTTTCCCCCACTTTGACCACCTCCACCCACCACCCCCTCCCTTGGCCTTCAACAAACTAGTGTCTGTGCATTCACCCTTGCTCCCTGAATGAACTTTACAAACCATCTCTAACTTGATGTCCAGTAGCCCAGACCAAATACTTCAGTCAGCCTTGACTCCTCGCTCTCCTCACACTTATATTCAATATGGTGGGGGAGTACCACTGGCTCTAGCTTCTAAACACATCTAAAACTGACCATTTTTCACCACATCCCTGGTACATTCCCCACTGTAGATTGTCATCCTCTCTTGCCTAAAAGGCTGCCACAGCCTCCTAACAGGTGCCTTTGCCCCTTCATAAGTATCCTTAAAACATCAGTCAGAGTGGTCCTTACCTACAGCGTGATATGGTTTCACTTCTCTACTCCAAAGCATCCGGTGATTCCTTTGGCACCAGAAGAAGAGCCAAAGTTCTTTCAATGACCTTTAAAGGTTGTGGAGGACACCATGACGGGCTGCCCGGATCCCCTGCAGAATGACTTATTACTCGTGGCTGGAAGTGCTGCTGGCAGATGGCCTGCAGCTGTCGATGTCTTCGGGAGATGCCTCTGTGAAGAGCGTCACCTCACCCAAGGTCACAGAGACTTCCCAGGTCAGCCAGTAACTGAATGACCTGGGCTAGCAAGGCCCAAACATTTCAACCCAACCTGGGATACCTCTGAAAAGCCATTCCAGGTCCAGCACTCCATGTGGGGGTCATCTGTGGCTGTGGTTGGACCTGCATTGCAGCTTGACCTCTACTTGCTTCCACTCCTTTCCACAGGTCTGATCCCAAAGGCAGTCTCTAATAAAAGACCTGCACGCCAAATTCTACCTCTGAAGTCTGCTTCCAAGAATCCAGGCTGCAACAAGGATCTGACACAGTCCAGCCCCTACAGCCTCTGTGAGGCCATATCCGACCGGTCTCCCAGCTCCAAGCACCCTGGCTTTGGTGTTTGAGGATTGGCATGCTCCTGCCTTACAGCCCTAGCATGGCTGGTCCTTCGGCCTGGAGCACACTTCCCCAGGTATCTGCCTTCTACTCTTCTCACCAACTTCCAGCTTTGCTTAAATGTCACCTTCCACGGGCCTACACTGACTATCCACTTACGGCAGGAGAAGAGAAAAAGATTTAAGGAGGAACAGTTCTCATCATTTCCTAATGTATTTACTTACCTTTCTGGGTATTGATTTCATTTTGAAGAAATGACTTTATTCATTTAAAAATGAGTAAAAATTACTGTTTTAAATACATAAAGGCCGTAAGTACAGTGGTAAAGAACACAGGCTCTGGGCTCAAGTAGGCCCGGCCTGAGCGCCCCATCACCGCTGCTCCGCTGCTGGGGGCCTGAGGCTAGTGCCTTCACTGCTCCCAGCCTCAGTTTCTTTACCTGTGAGTAGGGATAATACATTATGTATACTTCTTAGAATGGTTGTGAGGACTAAATGATCATGTATGAAACAGGCGGTGACAACTATCAAGGGCCATGTAAATACTGAGAATTATTGAGAGAGGGCCCTATGAAGTGCACATACTAAAGAATCCACCGGGAGCATACTGGCATCCAGGCTTACAAATCAAGGTCCTAGGAAATCATCTTTTTAATCTTTAGTCAACCCTGAGTGGACTGAGAATCTCCAGCAAAGCAGCAAGGGTTGGGTTTAGGAGAGAGCAAGTATCAACTGGAGGGCACAGTGATAGCCTAGCAGACATTCCTGGGGACACTGAAGAGTAGTTACCAACCAATACACTCTTGTAACATGGTACAAAGTTTTAATTTTTGCTCTCCTTGCACTGACTTTAATTACTTCAGACTTATTCTAATCTCTTAAGGCCCATGTGAAAAAAATCACATAGGATTTCAAATATCTAGATCTATACGTGCTCATCAGAAGAACTTTAGACTTTCAAAACAGCCATTTGTCTGGTTATTTGAGATTAGAGCCTAAATCTTTTTATGTGTATTTTCAACCCAAAGTTTTGAATATTTATTTCTGTTTCTGTGATAAAAGAAAAATAACTACACTTGGCTTAAAAATAAAACAATAACTCCTCCAAAATCCCAACTGTTTTTACGTTTCTTCCATTCATTTTTCATTTACTAGAGTGAAATGTCCTTGCCTGTAACCTCCGATCCACAAGCTTGATTAATTGCGGAGGTTGTGCTGAAGGCCCACCCTGCCAAGCAGAGATGATAGACTGCCTATAGGCGGGTACTAACAGAAACCTCAAAAATCTAACATTTACCATTATGTTATGTACCTGCCCTTTCGGATTTATTTGCACATCCCACTATAGTCCATTTCTTTACTTCTAAGGAGAGAATAATATAAACTTATTTTTGAGATAGCATTTTTGAAAACCACTGTTCTACAGTTATACATTGAAAACAATAATAATTGCACTATTTATTAAAATGACCATAATAAATGGTGCTATGGAGGGAGGGATTTTAAAAGGCAGACATTGTCCTAACCAATAACCACAGAGTATGCTTTGCCATCTTTCAGACCCACATGCTACATCTTGGAAAATCCCTATCTGGGGTGTAGCGCGCACATGCGTGTGTGTGCGTGTATGTGTTTTCCCCCGTGGGGATGTCAGTGCTACATCAGATTATCCAGGGTCTTCTGTAAAGTCATAATCTACTAGATACTGCCTTTGCTTTCCAAGCCCTCCTTCGAGGATATCATGCACTCCTTCGATTTTTCCTTAGAGCTTTATACAACTTAATATGCAGGCTAGGGAAACTAGAAATCTCCTCCAGGTCAAACAACTCCTTAAATCTATCTATAAATTTATTTTCTTTCTCTAACCTGAATTTCATGACCCAGAGGATGATAGTAGTGTCTTTGCACAGATGGTCGAAGGTAATGAGGAGTTCTTCCAGGAAAGGATGAGCATAGACAACATCAGCCGCCAGGATATAATCAAAATTGTTGGAAGACCTCGGGAAGTTCTTGTCTAAAGCTATGCCCCAGGAGAGTTCTTTAACCTGAGGCAAATGCTTACATTTCATTTTAGTGTTTCGGGATATATTATATTGCAGGTTTCCAAGTAATTCAGGTAAATCTGTGGCAGTCACATGTGCACCTGTGAAGCAAAGGGCAGTAGGAAAAGTTACCCTCATGGGATAAAGCAAACAATCAGGTTTCAAGCCAACATGCATTTTGCAATTCTGCACAACTGCTAGTCCCGAGGAAAAAACTGGTCAGTACACACAGCAGAGAAATCCCTTTCAAAGGGGTTGTTAGGGCAGCTTTATGCCTCCCATTAAAAAAAAAAAAATTAGATCCCCATGCTAGTTTTGCACTCCATTGTATTTTCCTGTTCTCCTGATTTTTTCTTTGTTTTGCGTTTTGTTGCTGTTCTTGTTTTCTATTTATCTACTACATGCAAAGAAAAAAATAATCAAGAGAAAGGGAAAGTCAAAATATTTGGTACTCTTACTGCACACTCAGAAGTCACTGTTGAAAGATGACCAGGTTCTTCCCTAGAAGAATTCTGAGCCCCGGCCCTGTGAGACTGAACAAGTGTATATAACACTGGGCATCCTATTGTTGAATAGAAAGTACTCAAGTATGAGAAGTGGGGGAAGGAAAGAAGATTTTCAATGGCAATGCATGGACAGTATCTTGACATACATGTTTATGTTCAAGTTTCAGCTTGACCCCATTTTAAGTGTGAGTCTTCCCATCAAAAGATATTTAAAACCTAGCCACACCATGCATATAGTGCACATACAGCCCGAGATCACAGATGCAGAACAGAATGCTCAGATGAAGAACACATAAACTATTTCTGAGTTAACAGTGAATAGTGGTGGTCATTTTCAGGAGAAAATTAGAAGGGGTAAAATTGTAGCAACTAATAACCAATCAAATGTGTCCCTTAATGTAAACTTTAAGCCACAGCAGAGCCTGAAAATTATTTGTAAATAAATCTAGGATTGGTCATTTTCACATCATCAGAAAAAGAACATTCTCGAGCAAGCAATGGGAAAGCAGAACTGGAAGAAAAGTCTAGTTCAGCCCAGAGCAGTTTAGAACCCATTCCTTAGCCCCAGTGGCAAGTTTCCCTGGCTATTAATTGTATTTTGTGGAAAACATTAAAATGGGAGGGAAAATATGCACATCATTTTAGAATCACAGAAATATGAATCTTCGACTCTAATATGGGTGGCTCTATCATTTTCAACAAATCTTTTTAAAATCCCAAGATAAGGAATACACTCCTACTTACAGTGAATATAAAATATCTGACTATTAATATCTTTATGTCTACAGAGGCAAACACCATCACTTTTTGAATGCTGACTAAAGAAAGCTTCAATCTTTTGATATTTGTGTCCAGACATACAAGCATACCAAAAGGATAATTCTTTTTAATGAAACAAATGACTTCCCAAACACAAATTCTGCTTCTCAATAGGGAAGCCTTCAGGTATAAGATCAAAAGCACCTTAGACTCTATCCATACAAAATGTAATGGTGGCTTTGGAATGCAAGATCAGGTCAGAGAAATTAAATATGTGTATATATTTGGGGGAACTTCAAGGGTCCTATAGTTTCCCAGTGTTTAGAAAGATGTAAATTGCTAAATCTTGAATTCTTCTCAAGATTTTAGAGTGGCAGGTGTGCACTTCTGAAGATCAAGGAAATCGATACATATTTGGGTAGCACACATCAGAAAAGGCAGCTCAATTAAGGCAATGAAACCTATAGCAACAACAACAAAAAGACCAAAATGGAGCAAGCTGAGGCATGCATGGAGACCATCGCACATTTAGTTGGAAAAGAAAATTCTGATGAGAGAACAAGAGATTGTAAAAGAAGACTGAAAATGAACTGAGAAAATAAATTCAAGGGCAAATACATAAAATTAGAAGCAGACATGATTTATACATGGTTTCTAATAGTTCTCTATTCTAACAGGGGCTTTTTCAAAAAAGCATAGGACTTCAAAACCCCTAAGAAATATATGACTACATGGAAATGTTAAAATGGGCTAAAATGTAAATGAAGAAGTCAGAGTCAGCAGCAGTAGATTCTGTCTGTACTTAGTGTTTCACATATCTCCTCTAGGAGCCAGGATACTTAATTGCACCTCCATGTTAGAATACATTTGTGACTTAGCATTCCATGAGAGGAATTAATACAACTTCACAGAAAATTCTGGAAGAAGCCAGAAAGGTGACTTTAAAATTGATAGTTTCTTGAGGAAGAGCATTCAACAATTAAGAAGTTAAAAATAAGCCCAGGTCACAGTACACTAGATAGTAAGAGCAGATAATAATATCTGATCACTAAATAGTTCAAACCCCATTCAATCAAAAATACCTACTTACCAAGTAAACTTGCCACAATGGAGACAAGTCCTGTTCCAGCTCCAATTTCAATCACATTTTTGTCAACCATATTATACTGCTTTACATTTGTTTCCAGAAAATAGCATAGAACAAGGGCCTATGAGTTAAAAATAAAAACAAAAACAAAACAGTGCTTGGCCAGTAATAAGAGAATGCATGAACTCTATTAAATAAATATCCCACTAATGCTTTGATATATATACATAGATATCACTACAGAAAATTATCAACAGAAGTACATCCTCTAGTGACTCAACATTTAGGCTAGAAAAAGTCTTTGGGGTTTGTTGTGGAGAAAAGAGACAACTAAAAATAAGAAGTTCAGTTGCTTAGGTTTGATTATCTCTAAAGAAGGCAATTTCTAATAATCATTTCAAAGAAGTGCGTGGGGTTAGAGTAGATAGTGGTGAAGGGTCTGCACCCTTCATGGGACAATTAATACCATGTTGACACTGGTAAATTAAATTCCATTATAATTATTTATCTCAAATGGAGCCAGTTAAATTGAAAATAAAATGTTCACTATTCTAAACTCTTAGGGTCACAAAAAACTCAAGGTGTAAACAATATTTTTTTTATTAATCCTGCATGTCAGAAGTAGAATTAATTGGTGAAAGCATTTTCCCAATTTCATGATTTCTAAATTTTACTGTTATTTAAGGTAAAAAAAAAAAAAAAAATTGAACTATGGAACCCATTTTTTTTTTTCCAAATAGTACAAAATAATGAACAAAACTGACTAAAAATAACTGCAATGTAGCAAATGTTTTATGAAATTATACCGATGGCCAAACGACAGCACCATAACAATCCATGGCTTCAGTAATTCGAATCTCATGACCAACAAAATGAAAGCCCTCCCAGGAGGTGGTTGTCAGTAGAGCTGGAAAAAAACATCTTGCCATGATCTCTTCAACCACTGTCTTGTCATCATCGTCTTCTCTGTCCTCTGAAAGGGAAAGAAAAAGGCGATTGTTACGGTTGTGTCCGTGAAACTATGAAAAAGGAGAACCTGATGGAAATGCCATGTTTCTACTTATTCTAAGTTGAACATTCATTGACTTTAGCTGCAAGGTACTATAAGGTAAACTATTTGAAAATGATTCATGATATAAGGTAACATTTCATATATTCGGATGGCAACATCTTCCTGATTTTATTGAAGTTGAAATGACCACTGTCTATTCCTGCAATGTTATGTGAAACCAATGTTTGTATAGTTTTTTAAAGCAATATATTTTAAGGCAACCCAATATGTTCATCTAGAACAAAAGAAATGTTGGTGATGAGATATAAGAATCCAACTATTCGCCCGGCCGGTTTGGCTCAGTGCTTGGGCATCAACCCGTGCACCAAGAGGTCCCCAGTTCGATTCCTGGTCAGGGCACATGCCCAGGTTATGGGCCCGATCACCAGTGGGGGCATGCAGGAGGCAACCTATCCATGTTCTCTCTCAACAATGTTCCCATGTCTCTTTTGCTCTCCCTTCCTCTCTCTCTCTCTTTCTTTTTGTAAAAAAAGAGTCCAACTATTCAAATTGGCCCAATCTTCAGTGGGGGACATGCAGGAGGCTGCCAATCGAAACTCTCTCTTCAATGTTTCTATCTCTTTCTCCCTCTCCCTTCCTCTCTCTCTAAAAATTAATAAAGAAAAAAAAATCAAAATATTAAAAAAAATAAAATTTTATAAAAGAAACCTAATAGTCACAAAGAATTTTAAACTATTTATGGAGCAAGATATACATCTCTCTCTGAGCCTTCAATTTCTTATTTGTAAAAGGCAGAAAAAAATACATCAAAAAGTGTTAGGAGATTTAAATAAGATTATGCATGTTAAGCACTCAGCACCTTGTCTACTATTACATGGGGCTCAATAAATTATTATTGTAGCTTTTATAATATTTTGGTTATAAAACTAAATGATAAAACAAGATTGTGTGACCCTGAATTGTACAACTGAAAATCCCACACTCGTATAAGCAGAGAGTAGAATGGTGGTTGACAGGGGCTGGGAGGTGTGGGAAATGAGATGTTGGTCAAGGGTACAAAGTTTCAGTTATGCAAGATGATTAAGTTCTGGAGGTCTAATGTACACCTTGGTAATTATAGTTAATAATAATGTATTGTATACTTGAAATTTACTAAGAAAGTAGATGGTAAGTATGTTTACCACAAAAAACGGAAATGGTAACTATGTGAGGTGATGGATATGCCAGCTTGATTATAGTATTCATTTCACGATGCGTGAAGTTGTACATCTTAAATTTATATAATCATACCTCAATAATGCATGGGGGGGATTATATAGTTAAATAAAGAAGGGAGAAATCGCCCTGGCCGGTTTGGCTCAGCGATTAGAGCATCGGCCTGCGGTCCAGAGAGACCCGGGTTCGGTTCCCGCTAAGGGCGTGTGCCTCGGTTGCGGTTTGTCCCTGGCCCTGGTTGGTCATGTGGGTGGCAGCCACTCGATGTGTCCCTTTCACGTCGATGTTTCTCTCTCTCTATCTTCCTCTCTACCTGAACAAAAAAAAAAAAAAAGAAGGGAGAAATCACTGTGATGGAGGTTATTCAGGGAAGGCTTTATAAAGGAAGTATGTGTTTATCTAATATATGATTTCTATTGATAGGGAAACTATTTCTTACACCAACCCTTAAAATCCATTGTCTTGTCTTTGTTCTTTGCCACCTCCCCCAACTCAATACTAATGAATCCAGGCTTCATTCTCTTCAGCAGAGAAGGTAGAAAATAGCCCTGGCCGGTGTGGCTCAGCAGAGCATTGGCCTGCGGTTCAGAGAGATCCGGGTTAGGTTCGCGCTAAGGGCACGGATCTCAGTTGCAGTTTGTCCCCGGCCCTGGTTGGGTCGTGTGTGTGGCAACCACTCGATGTGTCCCTTTTGCGTCAATGTTTCTTTCTCTCTCCCTCTCTTTCTCTTCCACTCTGTCTGAACAAAAAATAAAAAAATGTCCTCAGATGAGGATTAAAAAAAAAAGAGAGGAGGTAGAAAATAAAGATTAACCTTTGAGCATAAAAAAGAAATAGTGTTATGAAACCAAGAACAGGAAAAATTTGATAATTCTTTAAAAGAGAAACAGATAGGCAGAAAAGATTCATTCTTAGACTTAAGCCAGAACATTTTTTTCTTGATTCTTCCATTTACTTTTTCAACAAAGCTGTATGCCTTGAAGGCCTGCTATGTGCCAGGCTTTGTGCTAGATGATGGGAAGACAGCCCTTAGCCAGACCGACACGGTCCCTACCCTCAGGAAAAGTAGAAATGCCTAGACACAGTTGTCTGAACTTCAGTAATACATGTAGTACCTCATGACTTCCCCAAGAAGAAACTCTAAATTGGTTGTTAATTTTTCCATAATATCCTCTAAGTACTTGGCTTTGATGTCCACCTGGATAGATCTTTCTAATAAATGGGTGTTTACAGCTTTGCTCTGACTGACATTTTGTTACTGGTTTGACTGATAATATTAAGAGTGTGATCAACAGATAAGGGGTTAATTTCCAATATATATAGAGTGCTCATACAACTCCACAAAAGGAAGACAAAGAACCCAATTAAAAAATGGGCAGAGGAGCTGAATAGACATCTCTCCAAACAGGACATACAAATGGCCAAAAGACATATGAAGAAATGCTCAACATCACTAATCATCAGAGAGATGTAAATTAAAACAACGAGGTATCACCTCACACCTGTCAGAATGGCCGCCATCAACAAATCATCAAACAACAAGTGTTGGCGAGGGTGTGGAGAAAAGGGGACTCTAATACACTGCTGGTGGGAATGCAGACTGGTGCAGCCGCTATGGAAAACAATATGGTGCTACCTCAAAAAATTAAAAATTGAACTTCCATTTGACCCAGTGATCCCACTGCTGGGAATATACCCTAAGAAGCCTGAAACACCAATCAGGAAGAATATATGTACCCCCATGTTCATAGCAGCACTATTTACAATAGCTAAGATCTGGAAACAGCCCAAGTGTCCACCAGTAGACGAATGGATCAAAAAGCTGTGGTACATATACACAATGGAGTACTATGCAGCGGTAAGAAAGAAAGATCTCTTATCCTTTGAGACGACATGGAGGGACCTGGAAAGTATCATCCTAAGTGAAAGAAGCCAAGCAGAAAAAGACAAATAGCACATGATCTCACTTATATACGGAATATAATGAACATAACAGTCTGAGGAATACAGTAGACCCTGGAACATGGAAGTAGGGCACAGACTGACATCCCTCAGAAGAGGGGGTGGGGGGGTTGGGGGTGGGGGGGAAGAGATAAACCACAGAACTTATATGCATGTATGCATGACCAATGGACATGGACAACTAAGCCGGGGACGGGGCAGAGGTGGGGTGGGGTGGGGGGTGCCAATGGGGTAAAAAGGTAAAATATCTGTAACAAAAAAATAAATAATTCATAAAAAAAAAAAAAAGAGTGTGATCAAATATTCAAATGATGTGAGTGTAATGGGGAATTATAGTAGAAAACTAAATGTGATACAAAATATCTTGATGAGCTGGCTGTACCAGTGGATTAGACAAATGTAAAGTCCACATTCAGGCTGACCTATTTGTGGAGAGGAAAATATATATAAATTTAATTGGCTACAAGTTCAACATGAGTCTAAAGTAAAATACAACTATCAAAATAGCTAATACACTCAGGCCTTATTAACAATATAATTTTTAAATGAGGGAGATAAAGGTTCTTTTCTATTTGAAAGTGGTCACATTTGTAGTTTGGAAAGCCCCATTTCAGAGGGCCACTGAGAAACTGGCGGAGATGGGAGGGGAGAAATCTTGACATTCCGCCATATGAGGACAGTTTGGGAAGATCAGCATTTTCATTATAAAGAGAAAACAATCTGAGGGAGCACAAGAGTTTACACAAATTTATAGGAGTAGCACATAGAAGAGATAGGGGTGTGTGTGTGTGGTATGTTCCCAGAGAGCAGAATATGGACCCAAGGGGGGGTGGATTACAATAAAGCAGATTTTAAACATTCTTCTAAAAAATCACACCTTTTCAAAAATAAAATGGCTTGCCTCAGAAGGAAGTAAGTAATTAGTCCCCAGAAGCTATCAAACAGAAACCAGAAGAGTATTGTTTCAAGATATTAGGGAAACATCAGACTAGTGTTTGGTCTAGCTGGGCTAGGGCCATTGTACAACTTAATTTCCCCGATTCAATGAAATATCTACATGCCATAATGTGGAGAAGTGCTATCACAAAGATACAATGTGCTAAGGAAGTATAGGAGAGAAAGTAAATAAAAGTAGGCAAAAGGAAGCCAGTAGTAGGGGCGGGGAGAGAGATATCAGACTTGGGAAGGAAAGGGAGTGAATGGAGAGTATGATTCATCAGTAGGCCGAAGAGATGTGTTCCAAATGACACACTAAGAAAATCATTTATTTATTCATTAACAAGTATTCACTGAGCACTTACTAAACCCTACACACTGTCCAGTGACTGAGAATGAAAAAATTCAAGGAGATAGTCCTTGTGTTGGTGGAGCTGACAGATGTGCAAAGAGAGACATGCAAACGGACAACACAACGCTGTACGAACAGTGTTACAATGCAGGTCACAGGAAAGCACAGAACCCCCATCAGCCTGGGAAATTCATAGATGATTTCCTGTCCTAACTCTGTGGTCCCTTAATAGAGTCCTGCTTAGGAGCCATGCAAAGTCAAGTAGTCCCCCAAAGAACTCCAACTTCACTACACACTACGGAAGGGCCCAATCTACCACCTACTCTACCCGCACCGCAAACATTGACTCTTGGCAGAGATGCACAGAAAACAAAGAGATGAAAATTGATATTCTTCAGCTAGAGCCCCCTCTTCTAATATATTTACGATCCTTCTCCTTAAACAATGGCATGCATTCACATTCAGGAAGAGTTGTAAGAACCAAATAATATTAGTG